AAGTGACTGCAAGGGAAAGTTTAAAGGTTGCATGCTGATGATGACTGGGTCACAGCAGTAGGAAGCAGGGGCCAGGACCTGTAGTGTATTTTCTATTGATGCCAAACCAGGTCACCGTTAAAGTCCATGCCAAAAGCGAGGTAGTCCAGATTTACGTTTAGACAAGAAGACGGAGGAATAAAAACAACCATTCTTAGTTAGAGCTCTCCAGTTATTGTGGATACTAGCGTCATGTGAGAAATCCTCCATTTAATTATGTGTGTGCCACGTTTGATTTTCGTATGTTCAAACAGCAGCCCTTAGTTTTAAAATCCTTGTAGACTAGGATAGCGTTTGAATTGAACAAAATTCCACTTGTCAAGACTCTTTCCAAGCGTGCGGGTGTCAGCAGAGGAGACCTGCCAACTGTGAGGAAATTAAGCAGAACCTATGTAAGAAGGCAATCATTCTGAAAAGTTAAAGACATTTCTTACGTATCCATTTATATCTTCCATGTTTTCATAATGCTTCTGAGAAACACAATTCTGTGCTTTGCATCATTCTCTGAAAATTATTCAAGCCAAAAATGAGCCAAAGAGGGCAGAGAATGAATAGAGACAAACATGATCCATAGCCTCATTCTCTGCAAGGATAATTAAACCTACTGATGTTGTGTCTGTTAGTATGGGTGTGTGTGCACGTACATGTGAGTAGATGTGTGTGAATGTGCTTGTGGAAACCAGAGGTCAAGGTTGGGTATTTCTTCTAGGTTGCCCTCCACATTTAGTTTAGACTGGGTCTCACTGAAGCTGGTTGAATAATGGATTTGGCTGGGACAGTTGGACAGTGAGCTGCAGGGACTCAACTGCCTCCACCTCCCCAGTTGTAAGGGACAGGTCAGTGGTGCCATTCTTGATGTTTGTAAGACTGCTAGGGATCCAGTTTGGATCCTCGTGATTGTGTGGCAGGAATTTCACACACTGAGCTATCTCCCCAGCTCTGGTCCTAGTTCTGTGTGGAAGTGCTGCTGCAGTGGATGGAGACACTGCAGACAGGAAGAACACCTGTCTCTTTTGATAAAGGTCACCCAGCTCACTCTGAGGGTGGAGCCTCCAGGTCTAGGTTGTGTGTCACATGATCAGGTGACTCAAGTCCAGCAGAGGTTTGCATCCATATGTCTCATTTCTCCCAGATCCCCCACTGCTCTGCCTCAGCCTGTCCCTTGCACAGCACAGAAGCAGGTGTTTATCTTTCCTTTGCAGTCTTTTCTTCCTTGCATGTCTTTAAACCCTTCCTCCTCTTGCCATCATCCTGGCTAACGCTCTGGAGTACATTTACTGTTCATCCCAATGAAGGGTCCATATGTAATGAGCTGCATCCCACTTGGAGGACTCTGGAATCACTAAAGAACTGTACTTCCCATACACTTCCTTTTACTCAACTTTCTGTCGCTAGGGCAGACACAAACTTGGAGTTTCTTTTGATGTTGAGAAATCTTGAGTTCGATGAAATTTTGGTCTACGTTTCTTTTTATTAAGTGTGCTGTTAATCTTATTTTTCTTATGCAAAAACTTCCAATGGTATATTTTGTATGGAAAGTATAACAGTGATCTCTTTATATTGGCTGTTGCAATTACGAGAGTGAATGGAGCTTTTTCTTTGAATACTCTTTGTAGTTTAAGGAGAAGAGCTGAAACAGGGCCCTACAGAAATTCACCAGTGCCAAATCCATTTAGACATTATCTGTTTGATGTTGGCAGTCACAGCAATGACACAGACTATGTGAGTGGGAGGCACAGTTCTTTCTGATCAGCAATAAAACATCCTATTTTGGAAGGCATGAATGGGACTCCATCACTGTCAGACTTTCTAGTATTAAAATTCAGAGTTGGAGAGAAGGTTCAGCAATTATGAGTGCTTGCTGCTCTTTCAGAGGACCTGAATTGGATTCCAAGCACCCACGTCTGGCAACAACCACCGTCTGTTGTCCGTTCAGCTCTAAGGGTTCTGACACCCTCTTCTGGCCACCACGGTCATCTATACACACACACGGCATACACTCATACAGACAAATACACAAACACAGAATGAAAATAAAAGTAAATCTTTAAACTTCATTAGGCCCAGATTCTTAGGTGGTACTTTAGATTCTTTCTGCCCATGCTGGTCAGGGGCAGAGGGATGCTGGAATGCTCTTTGGCCACTGCATGCACTTGACACACAGAGTTTATTCAATTTATTTTGATTTATTTTGCTTTACTAAACATAAAAATTAAATTCAGCTTTATTTAGATATGAAACGAGACAAGGGAAAACTTCAGCTATCCATCAGAAAGCTTTTCTGTGATCCTGAGACACAATTTTGAATTGTCACAGACTGACACAGAGCATACTATGAAAATGCATATTTTATTTTTCACTCAAAAATACCAACCTAGAAGTGTTTTTTTGTAATATTACCTGTTGAATATTACTACAATAAATATAATTTAACTCTCAATTTTAAAAGGTATCATAATATGAAATACGTGCTAGATAACACATCAAAACTTTTGTTCAGAATGTGTTTTTATATTAGAAAATATCTTGTTGAAAATGAAAATATAAAAATGTTAAGGGATTCTGTTATCTGCTATCATTTTACATTGAGCAGAAATACATGAAAACATTAGGGAGGATTGTGTATCACATAAATCCTAAATGTACAATCAGAACAATGAGTCCTAACTTAGGAATCAAAGATTTAGGTCTGATAATTTTTTAAAAGAATCATAATAATAATTGCAAATATATGTATTTTGCGTAGTAAGGAAGTTATTGCTGACCTGGCGGAGTAAAAAAAATGTAATCTCTATTGTAAAATTAACAGATAAAATAGAAAGAACAAGTCTATCTACCCAAGTTACAAGTAGGCTAATAGAATTGTCTTGTCCATATACAAACTATAAATGCCTAGATTCAGGTGCCCATGTTATAACAAATGTGGTTCGTTGTGAGATGATGGATGTGAATTTGCTTCACTGTGGGGACTCTTATTATCTGTAACACCTGTGGGGCATTTACCCACCAACCCCACAGTTCCCCAGAGTTTTCTTGAGTGTGAGCAGCAGGAAATATTAGATAGAAGGATTTACTGTGGAGAATCTTGCGGAGATAAACAGATAGAAAATAAAGGACAGCCTCGAGAGGACCTGGAACCTTTTCCAATGGGCCCTGACTGTCTCTGCCCCAGGGTATTTATAGAGAGGCCAAGGGGTGGAGCAAAAGCCCCCCCCCCAGCACAGCCAAGTGCAGACCATCTCAGACACCTGCACTCAGGCCCGTGGTCCTAATCATCCTTTATGTGGACCTGCTGGGTAAAGCCACAAGGAACCCAAAAACAGGCTCCCACAGGATACCATATTCAAAAATAATAACAATCCATCAAAGTTTCCTTCAACAATGTCTGCAGAAACCAAATGGGAAGCTTTACTGTCATTCAAAAGTGAAGTACATCTCTCGTCAGGTCGGGCTCCTGCACCAGGGCTGGGCTCCTGCACCAGGGCTGGGCTTCTGCACCAGGGCTCTCTGAAAACTGTTCTGAACAGGGAGCTCTGTGTGAGTGAGAATAATGATGCCGACTTTTATTCACGCCACTGTAGATGATGCTTTTACATGCATGATTTCAGCCAGCTTTTTAAAAGCCATAGCTCCAGTGCCAAGGTCACAAGGCCAGTGCCCTGCAGATGGCAACATAGTTTTTTCTATGAGCCACTTTGGAAGAAATCTGTCTGTGTCTGAGTGTTCTTGCAACGATTTTATGCACAAGCAGAATAGCTCTTGCACAATGGAAATTTTCCATGAAACTTACAATTTTTCTTTAAAATTAGAGAACTTTCACTGTCCTTGAATCTCTTGTCTGTATCCCGGCGACTGGACTGATTGGCATCACTTATTGGCCGTCAGCAGCCCTCATCACACTGTCTTCATGTACCACATACACTTAATGAATTGTTCTTCATTTCTTAACAATGGGATGCTTTTTAAATGTCAAACAATGTAAAAATAAATGCTTTTTACAGTTAGCTCAGTATTTAAATAATAACAGTATTTCAACCCAGAAAGTTATCTTGCACCGAATGGAAATTTGGATTTTAATTTGTTTTTATGTGTATTTATGAGTGCCTACCTGTATGCATGTGCACTTAGATATATGATCAGAGTCCATGGTGTCACAATGTGGAATTAGATCCCCTGCTGCTGGAGTTACAGACAGTTTTGAGTCACCATGTGGGTGCTGAGAACTGAACATGGGTTCTCTGCAAGGGCTCCTAACAGAAAGCCAGCCATCTCTCTAGGCCCCGATGGAGACTTTAAGACAAAACACATCATTCATTACCTTCTCTTGACATTATTTAGATAAATCTTATCCCCAAATTAGATCACAAGCTTCCTCTCAAAAGACCGTATTTTGCTTGCTTTTTGTAGGTTCTGCATTGTTTAATATGGAGCCAAGCATATAAGACCTAGCTAGATACTCATTACATAGAAACTTAGAGACCCTTGACTCTCTGGTTGTATGGAGAGCTTTTTTGAATAGATTATATGTTTTTTTTTTTCTATTTTGGAAGTTTTGAGAATATAAGCTGTGGATTCCCCCCCTTCCCAACACAGTATTTTAGGGACTGGTTTTTACAAACTTCAACTCCTGCTGTCATGCTTGTTGCTGGTCCTCATTGTCCTACATTGCTTTCTTCCCCTCAACGTGTGCCACTAGGAACATCAAAATACTGGACAAAATGGCCTACTGTGGGTGGAGAGTAAGAAAGCAGAGTTCCAGGTACGCATGAGTCTGTCAGACTAATTCACCAGGGAAGCAATTGCCACACATCCGTTTGCAGTATGGATTTACAAGAGTTTTGTGGAAAAGCCGTATAAGTTACTACTTTGTAGAGTCTTTGTGTTATCGTTAAACAGCCATAATTTGAGTATTAAAGCTACCGATTGCAAGAATTGTTGTAAATTAATACAAATTGGTGGTTTATTAATTAGTCTGGGATGTGGGAAAAAACCAAGTAACATCTCAGGATTTTAGGCAAGCAAATAAGAGGAAAGAAGTAATAAAACAATCATCAATGGGGCCTTCAGTATCTGACAACATCCAGTTTTCAGGAGATTCAGGTCCTGCCCTAACCTGCCATTCCAGTTCCCTCAATGCTGACCAGAGGAGATGGCTCCTTACCCATGCTTGGTCCTGTCAGAGTCACGTGTCCCTTACACATAGATTTATGCACTGAAAAACAAAACAATGAGAACATTCATTGAGATTAGCCGATAGATGTTTGAGTCTGAGCCTCTGTATTTGGCTATCTTGTAGACAGATCTCTGACTTTGCATGTGCCAAAGTTTTCAACTATAGCACAGAGACGTTTGAGCAAGATGTTGGTTACTTGTGCATGGAAGAGTTTTGCTCAATACGTACTCTGTCTAAATTGGGCAGCTATCATTCAGTCTCTGGGGGAGACTGCTGAAGCAGTTTCCAAATGTTTTGAGTCACGGAACACTAGGTGGATGTATTTAAATGTGTCTTTTCTTATTCTTTCACAGAGAAAGCCCTAGAGCCTATCCGTGTGATGCATAGTCACTTAAATTGCTTTCCTGCCAGCTTATTTTTCTCCACTCACAATGAATCTGTCCTCCCATGTTATTGCCTGTATTAGCTGTCAGTTATGAAGATAGACAGATCATATCTTCCCTATTTCTCTCTAGACAGAGTTTATAACTGATACTTCATTTTTGTATGAGATAGTCACACATACATTATTAAGTATTCTGAGTTGCAAGCCGCCATCCATCCCATGTAAGTAGAATACATTTTTGTTTCATTGTGTTCATGGTTTGTTCTGGTTTTTGTTGTCAACTTGACACAAATTCAAGTCATCAAAGAGCAGGGAACTCCAACTGAAGAACTGACTTAATAAGACTGGCCTGTAGCCATGTCTCTAAGACACTGTCTTGACTGACGGATGGCTGATGTGGGAAGGCTCAGTCCACTGTGGGCAGCACCATCCCTAGACAGGTGAATTGGAGCTGTAGAAGTGAGCTAGCTGTGTGTGAGCCAATGAATGAACCAGTGTTCCTCTATGGTTTCTTCCTCTGTTTTTGCTTTAGTTCCTACCCTGACTTCCTTTAGTGATGGATTGTCACCTGGAAGTATAACTTAAGCCATTTTTCCCCCAAGTTGCTTTTAGTCAGAGTTTTTTTTTTATCACTGGATCACAAAAATAACTAGATAATAGCTTAATTTTCTTTGGCATGGATACATAAAAACACTCTGAGTGTTCTAATTGATTTTATAAATAACCACAATTTTCATGGCTATGAAGCTTCAAGTATGTAATTATTGGTATTTTATTATATGTGATTGAAAATTTTTTAATGAGATGGGAATGTTTTTAATTTTTTTATTGGTGTGAAAATAGTGGGTTTCATTATGTGTATCATCGAGCTTTGCTTAAGTTCTTCTTGTCCTTTTTTTGCTCCCTCCCACTGCCTCGGTGTCTTTCTATGTCTCAAATATAGTCCCCCTTCTGCTTTCATGTCATTTGAGTGTGCCCCTCCCCCGTGTGTGTGTGTGTGTGTGTGTGTGTGTGTGTGTGTGTGTGTGTGTGTGTATCCTGTAGCTGAGAGAAAACACGATATTTTTCTTATGAAGTTGGCTTATTTCACTTGGCATGATGAACTCTAGTTGTGGAAGAGTTCTTTGAAATTTCTTTATAAACATGTTTCTTCATCATAAAAATTGAAGGTGTTCATACATAGTGACTGATCTCTTTAATCAAAGAACTATAGTTTGACAAATTATTTTTGCCAGGAAAAATTATTAATAAATATATTATATGCATATTATATGTTGCAACCAAGGAAAATAGTGTATAAATTTTGTAAGAGTCCTCTGAATATTCTTTGTTTTCAAAGAATTCATCATGGTTAGTTAATATTTTCATTGAGGAAAAAAATTTATCAAATAAATATTGTTCTTTGTTTTGAGTCATGATGTGTTAACCACACTGACATGGAATTGGATTTCTCCTCAAGCCCACCCTTTCTTCCTCCGAATAATGACTTGGAGGGTAGAGGCCATTCTTTTGAAAACAATTTCTTGGATTTGCTCATGGTTTAACTCTGAATGGAGCATAGATCTCTGTACCCTCCTGGATCTTGAGACATCTCAAATGACAGAAATGATAGCATGGGCACAAGATCAATGGTATAATAATGATGATGTGGGGGGATGGGATACACACGTGTGTGCAGGTGCATGTGCACGTGTGTATGAATTTGTAGAGACGAGGACGATTTAAGGTGTCCTGCCTCGGCTGCCACCCACTTTTTTTTTAAAAGAGTCTTTGGCCTGAACTACCAAGGAGGCTCGGCTAACTGGCCGAGAGCCCCAAAGATCCATTTGTCTCTGTCTCCCTAGGGCTGGGTTATAAATGTGCACCATAGACTACACTTAAAATTTTCTGTTTGCATATGATTTTTAGAGAGTCCAAACTGTCATTTGTTTTCTAATCCTGAGCATTCAGATGGGGAGCATCTCTTATTTTGCAGATGAGAAATTCAATGGACATTTTCCCCAAAATGTCATGTGATGAACCTGTACAGTGGTTCTTAACCTTCCTAATGCTGTGACCCTTTAATACAGCTCCTCATGTTGTGGTGACCCACAAGCAAACAGTTATTTTCTTTGCTACTTCATAATTGTAATTTTGCTATGGTTATCAATTGTAATATAATATCTGATATGCAGGATATCTGAAATGTGACCCCCAAGAGGGTCACGATCCATAGACTGAGAATTGCTGTGTTAGTGTCTCTTAATCACCACCAGTAGAAACTAACAGTGGATTACAAGAAGAAAGAAAATTGAGTGGCTCATATGATTATAAGGCTCAAAGACTAAATGAATCCATACTTAACAATACAGGAACTAGGTGATATCGACAGTTCTTCTCATATCTTAGTTATTTTTTTCCTCTATGGTGATATACAGTATAACAATTGGATATGGTAGCTGTGGAGTCTGTTCTTTTTTGCTCTCATAATTTCAAATATAAAGGGAATTCTCTTGGTTATTTGAGCACAATTTCTGGAGAGGACATTGTTGATGACGTGGTTCTGGCAGAAACCCTTGATTCCTTCACCCTCCCACAGGACAGTACATGTGGGCTAGGCTGAATTATGGGCACCTCTATGTGAAGAAGGTCGCTGAAGTGATTGACAGTTCTATGAGGTTGGGTGAGACGTCTGTCAGTGAAAAAAAATTGTAGGGACAGGTTGAGATTAACTTGTGTTAGTGGTAGCAGTGGTTATGATGATTTTTGATAGGAAAGGGGACAAATAACATACAAAACAATTGTAGATTGTGTGCTCCATGAGTTACTGGATCTCATCTTTGTCTCTGAAGCCTCAGAGAGGTAGGGCATCCAGCTGAAAAGGAAGGGAAGAAGATCAGAAAAGAGCCCAGCATCAGGTGTGATGGCATGCACCTTTAACTCCACCCGAGAGGATGAAGGATCAAGAGTTCCAGACCACCCTGAGCTGCATAATGAGACGTGTGTGTGTGTGTGTGTGTGTGTGTGTGTGTGTGTGTGTGTGTAAAGAGAGAAAGACAGACAGACAGAGACAGAGACACACAGAAAGAAGAGACAGACAGAGACAGCACACATTTCCAGTCATTTTATTTACACAGTTGGCTAATGATGTGACTCGTCTTTGGCACAGTCAAAATTTTTCTAGGTTGGAGTCCTTTTCTGTTTATGACTTATTTTTTTTTACCTTCTAGGTGGACAAAAAGATTGTAAGAACTGAGATAGGAGTCCTTCTGCGCCTCTCACACCCGAACATCGTAAGTGGCTTTTAGCTTACTATTTCAAGTCATTTCTAAAGCTGTAGAATGGGGTCATCATCTTCCACTGTCTGTGTTGATGGTGGGGGAGGGGAGGAGTCTTCCTCACTGTCAGGCAGTATGGCCCAGCTCGCTCAAGCCTTACCTCACCACATGCAATCAGTTTCAGAATAGATGGACTAATAATACATACGATGCCTCTTTTCATGCATAAAAGGAGAAAAAATGGAGAATCTTATTTTGCTCTAATGAAACACTGGCTTTCTCCCTCTTTTGTTTGCCTATCTCTTTAATATGCCATTGCAGATAAGGCCTGTGGGGAAAAAAGGCATTGCTTTCCAAAGTCATTTCAGCCTTTGAGAGAGTATCTGCTTCGGAAATAATTCAAAGATGCAAATAATGATGTACATGAATGGGGAGACTAAACAGTTTCCAGACACTCTGCAGTAGTCCGTGTCCAGACGACGCCTCTGAGAAAAAGGCCTAGTGAAAGGCTTTTTGGAATCAATGAAGTGAAAAAGAACAAAATCATTTTTGCAGCAGCAACTTGATTTTACAAATTAAGCCATCTACCTATTTTATTTTAACCTACTTGTATGAGACTAAAGTTGTGCCTGGGGTGATGACCTGCAATCCTGAAAGCAAAGTGCATACAACTTGATACAGGAGTTAAAGGTGCATCCAATACTTTTCTTAAAATGAATAAGAAGGTGGACTGTAGGTGGTGACCCAGGACCCAGGCATCACACATCCCTGTGTCTGCCATTTTCCATTCCTTGGTGTGTTGACCTCTCACCCTGTACTTTGTCTTCATGGCCCCATAATGACAGCTCTGCATTTTTATAAACGCCCAGGTTGATATTGAAGGGAGAAATTGGAAGGACCTCGTCAGCAGAGAGTCAGAAAAGAAAAGGTTCTCAGAAGCTACTGTAGCAGAGTGCTCTGTAACGTTGCTGCCCAGAGCTAACTACAGATGCTCCCCAACTAAATGATGGCTCACATTTCAGAGAACAGGGTTGTCTCAAGTGGCTTAGGCCACTGTCCTCCACAGTGTTGGACCAGGCACCAGAGTTCAGTATGCAGTGAAGCATGGGGATGCTTTGAGTGGGCAGTTCTCAGGGGTGCCATAGTCAATCATCACTTCCATGTTATCCATGCCTCTTCTGTCTAAGGAAGTCAGTATGCAGCATTCATCACATGCAGATCAGTGCTGGCTTCCAGATTTCCTGATGTCTGGAGAAATGCCCACATTTGGTTGGATTATCTGAATGCAATGAAACCCCGCTGTAGCCAATCAAATCTCTACCATCACTCTTTCCAAGGATCCATCACAGACAGGTGGCTCTACTGCTGAAGAACGCTTTTACACACAGACCTTACCCAGCCTGGCCTGCCTTATACTCTAAGTCCAAATCTGCTGTTTCCAAGAGAAAGCAGTGCTTATATCTAGCATCCATGATGCTTTCAAACAGTTTTGTAAAGTTAAGCCTTGGTTTTGATTGTAGAAAAAAACATGCATTGCAACATTGGAGTAAATTTTAGAAGTGTTTTTAAAGGAGTTATTTCAAAATGAAAAAAAAAAGTCAAAATTTAATGGGACTTTTGAAAAAAATCAAGGTATCTGACAAAGCCAGCAACTGAGAAGAGGAGGGGCCTAATCAGTGTTTGTCTAATGCTAGAATGGGGGGCTTTCACTGACCTGAGCCAGCACACTGGTATTGCAAGCTATTGCTTTGTCCATAATTTTAGACGTTTTCAAGGAAGATGGGGAAGAGCAGTTGTTGATGTTCATTCTTAATGTACATCTTTCTCTCAGATAAAACTTAAGGAAATATTTGAAACCCCCATGGAAATCAGTCTGGTCCTTGAGCTCGTCACGGGAGGAGAACTATTTGACAGGTGAGTTGGGCCTAGAGGGTCAAACAACAGAAATGTTTGCTCTGTGTCACTAAAAAATATTAGAAAGGAAAATCTTGCAAATTTTTCATAATAAAAGGATTATGTGAATTGATATATTTTCTTAAAATAAATCTTGCAAAGCGTGTTGAAGAGAGAGGGGTAGATAGTATTTGGTAAGACATACAAATAAGTAATTAAAAAGAAAAGCACTGTGATATCTGTTTACCTTCCCAAACATTTATCTTCAAAAAAGTAGAATTCTCAAAAATCACATTTATATTTTAGCTAAATAGTAGTGTATATGAGATTATTTTTATGAGAAAATACTTAAAATGGTATTCTCTGTTATGATTCAAAAACTCACAAAAGTCCGTGTTCTTCAAAAGATCATCTGTAATGTACTCTCTGCAGTAAAAAGTTCCCTGTTGCAGAGTAAAGCAGAGTACGCTTTGGCCCCTGGTTGCCAATGTGAGGGGTTTGCTCATTGCTCGTCACTCACAGAAAATGTTTGAAAATGGGAGAGGAGAGGATGCCCAAAAACCTGGAAGAGCAGTTATGGGTCAAACCAGCTCCTGGCTTCCATAGTCATCCCTTCTCCCTGCCTACTCAGGAGAGTTATGAGTGGGTTCTGGAGGGTCGTCTGCTGTGTTCGTTAGGGTACTCAGCAAAGAACGAAAAGTGAAGAGAGAAATATGAAGTAGGTATATAGTAAAAATGGCGAGAAGCTGATCTAAGGGTCTGAGTAAAAGAATGGGGTGAGAGATAGCTGGTAAGGGAAAGCCAGAGGACTGAGTGCCTGGATCCTGTCAAAAATGCCGTTAAGTCTTTGCTGAATGAACGAGCAACTGTAACAATGAATGGACTCTGAGAAGAAAGGTATCTAAAGGGGGTTAGCTTTGATTGTTGAAAGAGGAACACCAATTCCTGACTCCTACAATGGTCTTGAATGTTTGTGTTGCTCTCTAATTCATATATTGAAACCGTAACTCCCAAGATAGTAGTCCAGAGGTAGCGCCTGTGTGAAGAGATGGTTTCTGAGGGAGCCTCTATGGGTGGAATTAGTGGCTGTATGAAGTGTGCTCACTCCTTCCTCCAGGCAATGGAGACAGTGAAAGGGCTATGTTGATAGAATAATGCCACCCTCAGAAACAATCTGCTGGTGTTCTGGTCATTCACATACCAACCTCTAGAACCATGAAAAATAAATGTCTATTGCATTCTAAGACTTACAGTTGATCACTCTGTAACAGTCCAGATAAACCAAGACAAGTAAGTAGACTTTAAAACTGTGACTTTTTGATTATTTTAATAATAAGGATGTGCACGTCTGAGTAACCTTCTGGTGGCAGTTTGTTGACAGTCTCACAGTTGTGAATCTTGACTTTACCACTCAGAGTAAACTAATCTAGACTGAGGTACTTAACATCCCTGAGCTTTGTAACAAATTTGAAGCTGTTCTGTGCTGCTCAGAAATCTTAGGTTACACCAATTCCACTACAACGATGTAGCTTATTCTAAATTCATCTTGTTCCCATGTGCCCAGACAAGATTTCTCTGGGGTTCACCAGTATTTATTTATAATGGTCCCTTTAATAACACCACTTTAACCGAATATTTTTGTGATACGGTCTTTGTCTAGGTACAGTAATATATTTATAGTAAGAGCCTACTGGCTCTGGAGCCATGAGAGCTCTCTGAGGAGATCTTGCATATTTCTCTGCTAATTATGGTCTATTAGATAGAAACCTCATGTTCTTTCATTATAAATAGTTGCAGATAAGAATCCCACATGGAAGCTACCTCTTACCTACCACCTCTGGAACTACCTCTTACCAGTAGTTCTTTGGTTTACCTACCACCTCTGGAACTACCTCTTACCAGTAGTTCTTTGGTTTACCTACCACCTCTCTTCATTTGAGTTAATGTGGTCAAGAGTCTCTTCCTCCCATTGCCCAAAGCTTCTGTGAGGCAATTTGGGATGAAATTTAACTCAGCTCTAGGAAAAAGAAATAAGAATGGAAATGCTGTTGATAAATTTCATTTGTAGAAATAAATGAAGTATTCCTGTTTCATAAAAGACTGACAGAGAGTCAATGAAGTACTTGCCCCTGTACAAGCTCTCAGTGACTTCATAACATAGATTTTACCTTGAATATTGTTCACATTTGTTGCTATGGCTGATGTAACTAGGATTCTCCATTATGCTCTTTAATTCACAGATATTCTTACATTTTATCAAGTTGAAATAAATTTTGCATCATTAGCCAATCTATTGGCTTTTTTCTTGAGAGTTAAGAAAATCCTAATATTGTTTTTGTGCACTTAGGTCAAGTTATAATTGTTTTTGTTTTCGTTTTTTCGAGACAGGGTTTCTCTGTGTAGCTTTGTGCCTTTCCTGGAACTCGCTCTGTAGACCAGGCTGGCCTCGAACTCACAGAGATTCGCCTGGCTCTGCCTCCCCGAGTGCTGGGATTAAAGGTGTGTGCCGCCACCGATTGAAATGCAATGATAAGAATTTATTCCTGGTCTAGTGGTAGCTCTAATAGTAAGTAATGAATGAAGTCAGAGCCATTGATTGGGTGATAATTAGCTCATTAGAGTCAAGGTGGTTGTGTTTTGTGAGTAAAAGATCTGGTCTGTGATGCTTATGGAAAATTAAACAGTCAAATCCAGGTGGGATCTACATTTCATATTGAATTTAAATAAAAAAAATACACAGATAAATGATGCAGGATTTTAAAACAAAATTGATATTTTTTCTTAGATAAGTCATATACATTTTATGTAAAAAAAATCCACATAATTCTGACATAATGTGAAAAAGAAAGCTCTCAGAGTTCAGTTCTTCTCAATCTTATCTCAACTCTTAAAACCTTAACATCTGACTTCCTAACAGAGCAAACTCCAGCATTTTCAGGTAAGCTTTCCATTTCTCTCTCTCTCTCTCAGGAAATGATTTTATTTTGCCTCACAGCCAACCCAGCAGACTCCTCGGGCTTCTAATCAAACTTCAACATTTCCCCCAATGTGGTCTTAAAACTCTAACACCTGAACTCCTTGTGACTCCCTTTGTCCTAGCTTACCTTCTAGGAAGTTTTGGTCACCAATGCCAAAAACACTATAGAGAGAGATTTTTAGAACACAAAGCTTTGAATGTTGACTCTTCCAAGAAAGCAGGTTTCCTTTAGTTTTAATGTAAAAACAAAACAGTTTAATATGAACAGGCACTGAATATTCAATGGTAGCCTCCCGAAGGCCCTTCTGTTTTATGCCAGAGAGATCCATAGGTTTTTTTTTTGTTTTGTTTTGTTTTTTCGAGACAGGGTTTCTCTGTGTAGCTTTGCGCCTTTCCTGGGACTCACTTGGTAGCCCAGGCTGGCCTTGAACTCACAGAGATCCGCCTGGCTCTGCCTCCTGAGTGCTGTGATTAAAGGCGTGCGCCACCACTGCCTGGCTAAATTTTTTTGTGTGTATGAGTGTTATGCCTACATACTGCATG